GTGCATTCTATCCCCGGCAGTTTGATTTTTGCAATTTTTTGCATATACGAATGCTGGTCACCACTCCGTAACAATTGATGCGATGGTATTTGTGGATTAGCCTTCAACTGTTATTACTGTAGAATATCACTTTTTGTAAGAAATATGAAGTGGACATTTGGAGGCGTCTCAGGATATCTTTCAGGATATTGGAAACATGTATAGACTGCCTGGCTTTAGATAGGATTTGTGATCTTAACAATTACCGGGTGTGACAAAGTATACATGATCTCATTAGGGGATACCAAGGGTATCAGTTTAATATTAGAGGACGTTGGTAGTAAATGCGTAATAGCATTTCGATTTCTCATCCTTTCTTTCTCTGTGGGTAATCCTTTCAACCTGATGAAAGGAGGTCACTCAACCAGTTCGTGCATTTGTTTGTCAAATGTGTCTGTAAATGAAGGACAGCTGAACAAAGAGTAAAATCTATTTCTCATGTCACTTCCAGCTGGTGACATGTAGTGAACTTGACATGTGATGATGACTTTTCATATTTATATTACAATAGTTTGTCAAACTGTAAATGAAACTGTAATATAAATTAATAATATATTCAATGTGAGGAAATGTCAGTACGGGATATTGTCCGAGTAGGGGACTGTCAGTGTGGGGGAAATGTCCTACACTCCTTAAATATATGGTGTGGTACATAAAAAATGAGCCAACAATCCCGCGTTGTAAATGCTTATTTTAGAACGTAATATGTGGCAATGTGTATGATAACCTTTTTATTCAGATCTTCGGAGAGGCAGCAACAGAAGCCAGCACTCGCTTGTGCTGTCCTATCCGTTTTACAAAACGTTATAAAACAGTGTCAAACCATACCTACATTGTTTTGTGTGATGGATGATACAGGTACATGATATCTCGTCTTCTTAACATTCACTTACTTCATTAGTGAAGGCGCACACGTATAACTAAACACAACGACATGAGAAACATATTTTCATGACCTGTAGCCAAGAGGTCCTTGTCAATTGTAGCCCTCCCTCCTTTAGTGAACATTAATAAACAACCAGTATCGATACATAACATGTTCTCTGGTCTCGAATCCAACGTAACAAGTTCATTAAATACTGCGTAGCAATCCTATTTCAGTGAAGGAATGTTAAGAACAAGACGACAAAATGACTGCATAGTGTAATGTGTTTGAAGTCATTGTTCTATATTCTAAGCAAACACGATACCACAGGATATGTGAGATGTTGCTGACGAAGAAATATGATCTTGTGTCAATTCAATTCAATTTTTTATTTCAATTCAATTCTTTATTTTTCAGTATAAAGGCCATAGGCCCACGTACAAATATTCACTGAAAAATAAAGTATAGATCTTGTGTCGCAAATAGATGGTAATCCTTGATCCTCGCACAAACCTATCGACATCGTTCATATCTGTTGCGCTTCCGTCCTAATGACCATGAGTATTACATATGTTCTTAAATGTAAAAACGTCTTAAATGCCTCTGGTTAACGCTACTATTCAATTGCCTGCACAGCTGAATCTACCCTACTCCTAATGAATACAATTTGATGGAAGGTGGATTTCACCCTCCACGTTTATGATGTTATATAACGCATGACTCTTCCTGTTATTTCGTGCACCTGCTTAGCATTGTGAGAAGACAATGTAATTAACTATCCGAGTTGTCTCGCTATAAGTTACATAATAAACTGTGGGGTGCTTTTTTTTATTGGAGTAGATATTCCGAGTATATTCATTGTGAATAATGCTGCAGTCTGGTTCGCTCTCAAATGAATTCATCAAATCACAACTATATCTGCAGACCCCGCCACCAAAAACCCTAATCCTTTCAGATTCATTAAGTGGGCTCCAGGCTATAAACAAACTAAAACACAAAAAGCGCCCAAAACTAACACAACAGATAATTAAAAGCGTCAACAATCTACGTAAACTAGGTAAAGACATAGAAATAGTACGGATCCCTGCCCACGTTTGAGTGTTTGGCAACAAACACGCAGACAAAGCAGCCAAATCAGCACTAAAATTAGAAGAATTAAGCATCAACCTACCAATGTAAAAAAAATAAATTGAAAGTAATACAAAAGTGGCAAAATAACTATCAGAAATAACTAAACTACAAACAGGCCACACTAAGTTAAACTCCCACCTACACCAAATTAAAAAAACACCAATCATGGAAATGTCCCCACTGCAACTTATAGAAATCCCATAGAAAATCCTGAACACGTAATACTATATTGCACACAGTACCAGCAACATAGAACAAAACTCCAATCCACACTAAACTGCAACAATCAAATGACACTAGCAACGGTACTAAACACCCTAAATGACTTACAAACCTATAAAGCACTAGGCATATATCTAATCAAAACAGGCCTACTCGGCCGCATCTAACAAAGTACAATAAAAAGCTGCCAATAAACCTTAAAATTCTAAACCTACAAAAACATACTTAGAACTACAACTGCTAAAACTACATTTAGCCCCCCCTCCACCTTTTGCATGGCATATTTCAAAATTCCAAATTTGTTATCCAAATTAAGTAAACAACCCTCAAAGCCCCCCTAGGTTGCCCCACCTTCTCGGACATACCCTTTTCGACCAAACACTAAATGGCCTGGCGGGCCCGTGAGCGAATTACGCATGTGTCGGAAAGCGCACGTTAAAGTCCCAATTTAAGTAAGTAAGTAAGTAAGCAGACCCCGCATATCTGAGACACTCGACATGTGTATACGTGCACCAACTTTTGCATAAATCAAGTGTAGCAGTAGTTTGTCTGATTAACGAGCAGAAACTCATCTTACAACTTACCACTATGTGGAACAGATAACCAACACAGTATTTGACCTAACATTTTAAAACCGTCTATGTATCATATCTTTGAAAATCATTTACAAGATCAACACATAAGGAAGACATCTTTAATTTGGGGAACACAATGTTTCGGAGTGTATTCTTACTCCTTCACCCGATGAAGGAGTAAATATAACTTCGAAACATTGTGTTCCTCATAATAAAGTTACCATCCATAAATTCTCTTCCTTACATGTATGTATCATCCGTGTATCACCCGGTTTCTACTTCGTTTTGAGGAAAGTTATTCCGTTTTCATAAGCACATCAAAACCGAAATGTATTTTCATATATTTAATCCTGAATGCTAAATGCTAAACAGAGACTGTGATGGCCGCTGTTAACACTCAGTATTTCAGGCATTTACGGATGAACGCAAGTCCTTATTGTGTATGAATCAGATGAGCTGAGGAACAAATTCGGGGTGAATCTAGAAAATAAGTGTATTCAGGCACCACTAGGAATTGCGTTCTCATACACTACTCCCAATTCCGAAGTCTATTGATAACTTATAAAAATGAGTTACACACATCAGGGAATATATACATTTGTCAATGAATTTCTTATTGATTAATATAGAATAGGTCATGCATCCTTGCTGAAAAAATACAGTTTAAGAACATATCCATGTAAAAAAGCTTTATATTGTTAAAATACACCTACACCTCTATAAATATAACACGAGCAACAGGCTTATATAGCTCCAGGTTAGATTGAACATACATCCGACATACATGGGGAAGTAACGCACGACAGCATTTCTGAAGTGTACATGCAGTGAACCAATATGGCGCCACTTTCTCGGCACCATTACCGACTTTTGCGGCACTATCGCGCCACTTTCACGGCACTATCGCGGCACAATCGCGCCACTTTCACGGCACTATCGCGGCACTATCACGGCACTTTTGCGCCACTTACGCGCCACTTACGCGAAACTTCGCGGCATTAGCGCGCAACTTTCGCGGCATTTTCTAGCCACTTTCGCGGTATTATCGCGCCACTTTCGAATAACTTTCGCGATACTTTCACGGCACTATCGCGAACGTATAGCGAAATAGTTTCGCGATACAGGGAAAGCGACTTTTGAAATGTAGTGTACTCTGGAAACTGTAGTAGTAGATTTCATGAAGCTCCGTAAAACAGGGGCAGTAACTCTGTCACAATTTGTCGAAATGAAACGGGACTGCGATATGCGTATCATCAACATGTCGACATCTTGTGCGTAGAGTGTCAGGGATATTCTCTAAAAGCTGGAGGAGGAGTTGATTTCACAAGCTAAGTACTCTCTCTCCCAATTAGGCAAATAAAGCTCCGTAAAACAGGGGCAGTAACTCTGTCAAAATTAGTCGAAATGAAACGGAATATTGATGAGTGCGCGTTAAACAACAAACAAACAAACACTCGCCTGTCCGACGTCTCCTAATGTTCAGATCTTCAAAGCTACAAAATTCCTTCTGCAAGTAGGACATTGTGGTTGTTGTGTCAATATGCTTCATAAATCTGCAAACCCGTGAAGATCCGGGGTAGAAGAGGTCCTCAGCAACCCATGCTTGCCGTGAAAGGCGACTATGCTTGTCGTAAAAGGCGACTATGCTTGTCGTAAAAGGCGACTAACGGGATCGGGTGGTCAGGCTCGCTGACTTGGTTGATGCACGTCATGATAATCGGTCCCAATTGCGTGGATCGATGCTCATGATGTCAATAACTGGATTGTCCTGTCCAGACGCGATACTTTACAGACCGCCGTCATGTAGCTTGAATATTCCTGAGTGCGACGTAAGATCACAAACAAAAAAACATACATTTGCATTATATTTCGTGTTATGAGTACCACTCGGGTGGGCCAGACACGGGTCGTCTACAGAAGGGAGGTCACTGTGTAAGTCACATTCAAGGGGGGTATCCGACACGTGATAGTTGACAACACCTGAAATAAAAAGCTCCTCACAGTATAAACTAGGTTACCTGAGAAAGGCGTATTATCTCCCGAAGACGCAGGGTCATAATATATCCGGGTCTACCCTTAACACTCCATACGCCTCTCTCGGGTATTCCCAGTCCCGGGTAATTGTTCAGCTGAATAATTGCGATTGGCTCAGTCTCGTATCTCTCTCTATCGTCACGTCAGGTGACGTATATGTACATGTAGTGCAGATATTTATTCTTACATCAGATGTTACATCTACTGTACTGCGAGCTATTTGCATTGGAGAATGGGACAGTTGAATGACATGAATACTTACTGACACATTGAAGCGGTACAAGGGTCGTGGCTTCGCATTTCTGTCAGGCCTGGTAAATGTATGTATGAATCTGATACACCGTTGTGGACAGACATATCTGTTTATTGAAGGGGCCTTGTGTCTCGTGACGACAACAGTGTGAATACAGTTGATTCTTCTACCAAGATGTCGGACGCTCGCGTACATATAGTCACATGCTTGAATGTTGACTGTGAAATACAGTATGCTCGAATGTGTGAAGATCTGGAGACCCGGGGGGTCGTGTGTGTCATGGAAGGAAGGGGGGACTATGGCATCGGGTCTACTTTTGTGGAGAGGTTCAAGGAAATGGTGGACAGCACCCGTGTGACCATAATACACCTGTGTCCTGACATGATCAGCCGCCTATCGAGTTTAACTGACGTTCTCCGAAATCACCAAACTCAGAAATATTTATTCATACACGTCAAATGTACGCCGAAAGAAGTTCCGGAGGTTTACAAAGAAGTTACAAAGATGCTCCTCGTGAATGATTCATACTATAACAAGGTCATTGACAAGGTTATGGAGATTGCCCAACAGCCTCCTGGAAGTGTGTCGTCTGCTACTGAACTGGCCCACACGTCTGCTTCAGATTTGTCGTCTGCTACAAGGAAGGCTGATGGTTTTGATTCTGACTCTGGTACTTATTCCAACCCCCCGATCGGAGAGCCTGACGTCTTTGTCAGTCATGTAGAAAATCAGCAGTGTAGAGACACCGGGGTTTACTTTCTGTCCAGCAAGATACAGTACAAGCCTCACCATCTCTTGAAATGTGAGTACATGTAAATATCAGATCCTGGGTAGAATAGGTCTTCAGCAACCCATACTTGCCGTAAAGGCGACTATGCTTGTCGTAAAAGGCGACTAACGGGGTCGGGTGGTCAGGCTCGCTGACTTGGTTGATGCATGTCATCGATCCCAATTGCGCGGATCGATGCTCAAGATATCAATCACTGGATTGTCTGGTCCAGACTCGATTATTTACAGACCGCCGTCATATAGCTGGAATATTGCTGAGTGCGGCGTTAAACAACAAACCAACCAACCAACTTACACCACTTTTACAGAAAATTTGTCATTATGTTCTACACAGTGAGTGAGTGAGTGAGTGAGTTAAATTTTACATCGCATCGGCAATATTCCAGCCATATAGCGATGTGTACTAGGTATTTAATCTAAAATAACTGTCAACAAAGGACAGTAAAATAGTAAGTTATATCACAGTTGTTTTTTAATAAAACAAACTAGATCATAATTTCCTTTAAAAACATATAGTAATAAGAGATTAAGTCCTTTCAATTAAAACAAGGCTGTTCTACACAGGATTTCGTTCATAGATTTGATTAAATTAAACCTGTTACTGTTTATATCATAGCTCAAATGTTTTTGCCAGTCACAAGATCTCCAACCATTATCGAAAGCCTTACTAAATTGTATGAGTGAGTGAGTGAGTTGGGTTTAACGCCGCTTTTAACAGTATTCCAGTTATATCACGGCGTGTCAGCTTAACGTCGGAGGAAAGCCCGAGGTGATGTAGGTCCCTGACGTTTACGACTTCGGTGAAACCCACGAGCACGGGTATGGTGCTGACAAACCTAGAAACATAATCGGTGCGAACCGGGATTCGAACACACAACCATAGATTTCTGGCGCGCCCAAGGGACGCAACTCTGCACAACGAATCGCGGCGCGTCACACGACTGGCTGAAATGTATGGAGGCACAATTATGTAGTATAGCAGATAGTTTATGAAGCGTAAATATGTGTTTATAGGATTATCTGAAATGTGGTTCCAGCTTGTAAGACTGTACCTAGAAACGTAGATTTAACGACTGTAACAAATTTTTAAATTTTTAAATCAATGCACAGTTCTATTCTATCTTCTTGCCGATTTAGAAATATTGTCAGAGGTGTTGGTTTTGCTATATGATACTGCGATGTTGTTGTGCTGGATGTAAATAATAACGTAGCTGTAGTTACGAAAGATAATCCACAGAGCAATAATTATCTTCAATGTCAATTTTATAATGTATGCTATGTCTCATGTCACTTTCAATTCATTGTAATTTGTATGTGAATCATGTTTGGGAGAGGCATTCAGATAAGCAAAATTTGCTTGTTTGCCAATCCCTCTACTTTATGGAAATAAGTATGTTTATACCTAGAAACGTCCTTATGTGCAATAAACCAACTTTGATAGAATGCCAAGCAAACAGATTAATATTATGTTGACTAAACACTCGTCCACATCAAAAGGCTGTTGATTGTTTACTATAGAAACTTATAATCCATCATGTGATGGTTACAGCTTAACAATACCACGTCTATCTGGAAAATAAGTGAATTAATGTTACCGAAATCTATTACCGAGAATTATAAATGTCATACACTCATTGGCGTTAGTTTTTTCGACACTAAACTGTCAAGGTAGTGTCTATATTTGCTACTTTTGTACAGTAAAGCTGTTTAAATGTGTTTTTACTGGAACAATTGGCGTTATTATTTTCCGACAATAAACTGTCCGGGTAGGGATGTGTCGATACTTACTACATTTGTATCAGCAAATATTTTATAAAAATGGATTATTGATACAACAATTGGTGTTAGTTTTGTCGCCAATAAACTGTACAGGTAAAGAAGTGTCTTTAGTTGCTGTCTAAATGGGGTATTTATATAACAATATGAGTGAACAGCATAACGATCGATCCAGTGTATTATGTATCACCGTTTAATTATAAATACCCCGGAACAATGTGGTACCGTATATTTTCATGCGAATGGCATGACGCTACAGACAGCCATCGAACCAAATAGTACTCTCACGTGCGAGATAAATGATTGGCAAAGTACTGATGTGGGAGATGGAGATTCAACGTCATATCCAAAATTAAACTAGGACAGCGAATGGGTTCAGGATATTTATCATAACTGAAAGGATACAAGTATATATTAATACATGTGATAACGAGTATACATAGTGCAGAGCATCGACGTTCACACAAGAGCATACATATATTTTAGTTTGAATGTTGCAGCAACAAAAAGGTAGTGAATGGGCATTAAAACATATCAGGCATGTATTCAAATATGAAGTCAGTGCATCCACAAATCTTACATAACCCTTATATATGCAACTTCACAATGATATCGAAAACCATGTCACGTTATGTCGCAATAAGTTTGCAGTGTTCGTTAAGAAGGCAACGCTGATATGTGCCAAGATAACAACCGAGAGTGTATGACTCACTGCTGACAACAGGCCTAGGATGGGAACAAAATCCGCATTTCGCAATAACAAGCTCAGTTTTTGGAAGGTGACAAACGGGTTCTTAGAAAATAGGTCATTGTTATAAATACGAAGTAGCAAGCGTCACCGCTTTTCGTCTCTGTGCTATCGTTAACTTTATTAACTGTATGAATGTGAATAAGTCCTTTACTTTGGTCATTTGATTCATTTGGCATACCTTTCACTACCGCCAAAACAGCAAACGGTGTTTACAGTGTAGAGCTAAGTTACTTGAAGACGTGGTATTATAACATATAATGTCGATTGTGTGCAGGTTCCTGATTCAGCTGCATTTCTCGAAAAAGATCAAGTTTCTAAAATCCAGTCGAACGTTCATCATCTGTCTATATTGTCGCAAAGCGGACAAATCAAAACGCTGCATTTACTTCCCTTTTTGGCATCAGTCATTTAATGTGACCCGTGTGTACTGACTGACCCGTTAGTGACACTAAAGAAAAGTTTAAGAGGTAAAATCAACAACCCTGCCCATGAATACACTGTACGTCGTAAGAGGGATATCTTCAGATAGAGTGTTGACCTGTCATTTATTGCTCTGGCAGTGAGATATGTCGGGTATTGTTTTGTGCATATCTATGCCTACATATGTGTGACCTTCCCAACTTTATAATGTCACCAAATAAAGGTATAAGTGGCAATAATAATAAACTCTGCACTTAAACGCAGTGTACGTTTTAAACTGGATGCTTACACTTCTTTTCTTTGTTTGTTTGTTGTTTAACGCCGCACTCAGTAATATTCCAGCTACATGACGGGCGACAAAATGAGCATCGATCCACGCAATTTTGATCGATGACATGCTTCAACCAAGTCAGCGACAGTATGCTTGTCGTAAGAGGCGATTAACGGGATTGGGTGATCAGGCTCGCTGACTTGGTTGATACATGCACATGCCATCGATTCCAATTGCGTGGAGCGATGCTCATCAAATGATTCTTTGTAGACTCAGTTAGTCTTAGGGATATATTTAGGGCACCTTTTTCTCTTTATCTGGTCTTATTGGTCACTGTTCTTAATCTATTTTCCAAATTATCAGGGTCATCCAAAGGTGAACTTCGAGAGATGTGCCGCAAGACTAGACTTTATGACAGTAGCAACAGATCAAACACAGTTCGCTGTCTTCTGACCAAAGTCCTTCCAGAAATCTTTGCAAAGAAGGACATTTCTGCAGTAGTGCAACTTCTGGCAGTTCCAGTTCCTGTGATACAGAATAAAGTTTTAACTAAACTCGGGGACATCCTACTTTCAACTAAACACGACACTATTGATCGGGATGATCTGAAGTCAGCTGAAAAGGCTTTGTTTGAACGCTGTCTGACAGAGACTGATGTTATAGATCCCGTGTTCCTGCATAATTTGATTTGCACGTACCTTCTGACTCTCACCTATTTGGCGGTGTCCCAAGAATCTCGTCATTCATCCTTGGATTCCACGATCAAACGGGTAAAACAATACATTTCACAGCCAAGGTCAGGAAACGAGGTTCCTCTGAGTGACATCAGTGTGTTTGTTGATGGCATACAAAAACGTATTGATGACGTCACCAAAGCAGTTACAGCATGTGGAACGAATTGGAAGCAACTTTGGTCCGTTAAGAAGAAATCCTGGCCTGTTCATTTCTCTATGGTCTTGGGGACACTTATAGAGGTAAAACAACAACTTACGTTGACAGTAAACATTCTAAATCACAATGCCTAATTTCAAAACTCTTCTGACTCTTCAAGTCTTCTAAATTGTGGAATTTGTTTCTAGAACTTGCCTGGAATTCTATTACCCGTTCAGGGATTTCCGTTTTATAGACTATACACTGGATCATTGTTAGTCAAAGTACATGTATGGCACAAGGTCAATATGTTTGCGGATGCATTGCCGTTACATTGACAAATACCTCTTTGATACCGACCTATTATCATGTAATATTTGAATAGTGAAGTGACATTGATATGCTTTCTTTTCTTGTCTTTTAGAAATAAAACTTTGAGCTCCCAAAGCTCGAAATTGGAAAGTTTTCTGTTTTGGTACAGTTATAATTGAAATGTGAACCTCAAAGTAATGTTTGTTTCAATCGACCAATCGGTGTTAGGCAAGTAACGCTGCAATGACATAAAATAACACTTCCGACTTTTAGTTGTTTTTAGAATGTTATGCCCAAAAATCAGTGGCACAATTAATCTTTAAACTAAACTGTTTTGTTTCTTGAAACAGGTGTTTCATGGCGACCCCCAGACTGCCCTCGTGGCCTTAGACACACTTCCAGCACTACTGAAGCAAGAGAACCCCACCAGAGTTCGAAACGTGTTAAAGAAACCAAAACCACAAAAGAGAGTTGTACAGTTGGTCACTACTGGGATGGTGGCTTACCTGAATGCCTTAGGTAAGTGCATACGTGGCTGTCCCAGGATTGCGTGGAATGCCCATTAAATTAATGTAATTTAATAGAAATGCATTATCATTCTTATATCACCCTAGTGAGTGAGTTGGGTTTTATCGCCGTTTTCTTCCAGTATTCAAGTTATTTCGTGATGCATGTGTCAGACGTTTACCACTTCGGTGAAACTCACGAGCACGAGAATGGTGCTGACAAACCTATAAACATAATCGTGGCGAACCGGGATTCGACCCCACATCCATAGGTTTTCTGGCGTGAACAAGGAACGACTGGGCCACCCGTGCCCCCTAATATCACCCTAGATAACCAGTTGTTTGCATATCAACGAACCTAAGGACGTTGGTTTAAGATTTCTATAAAGTATGAAGAATGTTACAATGGAACGAGTTTGCGAGTTATGAAAGATGCATTTCAGTAAATCACTGTGATGTAACTTCGTTAACAGGAGATGCAGTAGGTGAGGATATAGAAGATCGTGCAAAGGCTGCTTTCACAGCTCTTGGATTGTCACTAAAGGACTTGGACAGAAGCATATATGTCATGACAAGATGTTTATTGTTTTCGCAAAGCCCTGTGATCAGACAGGGTGCCGTTTCCCTGTGGAAAGATGCCAACGCTGAATCAACACACAGTTTGACAGAGGTTCTGACACATCTACATCCGATCAGCATCAACCGCCTGCACAAGCAGCCAACCAACCATTCTACAAGCAGCACAAGCTGGAAAGTAGCTTCTACTCAAATTGGATCAGAAAAAATCATGATACACGTCAATTTACCAACAGGTATAAAACTAGGAGGTATCCAGTTTCATTAGAACACAGCTAAAGGCTATGGTCCAATGGGTGTTTTGTTACTGTTGGTTGGTTGGTTTGTCGTTTAACGCCGCACTCAGCAATATTGCAGCTATATGACGGCGATCTGTGAATAATCGGGTCAGGACCAGACAATACCAGTGATTGACATCATAGGCATCAATCAACGCAATTGGGATTGATGACGTGCATCAACCAAGTCACCGAGCATGACCACCCGATCCCGTTAGTCGCCTTTTACGACAAGCATAGTCGCCTTTTACGGCAAGCATGGGTTGCTGAAGACCTATTCTATGTTTTGTTATTGGTTCGAAATGGGAGGTGTAAAAGTGCTGCTTACGCACACTGTACAGTTGATACATATATGTATTATTCGTTTAATTCAAGTTTTTTACTGTTTTAAAACAGAGTATTAGTGGCAGCACTTTTCCTGAATAAACAGGGTACAGTTCTGACAACCGTTTTACTGGGCTTAGCTTCACCATTTGTTCTCGCAACCGTACCTATATATCCCGATAAGGTACTGTAATTTATCCTCTATCTATTACTTAGTTCGTTAGTTTGTGCGATCGGACATCAACACTCCACGTTATGGTCTTGCTGCATACAAACTGTGGTATAAGTATTTTCAAACTTTCCAGAGCACGTCCTTGTGGAACATAGCAGATGTCCATCCAAATCGTCGGATTGTGGTCACCTCACTACGGTCGAGATTCTGAGAGCTCTTTCTACACATAAGGGAATCCTGTCTATGTGGGCGTACAGAATCGACCAGTTCCCTGTTTTCTACATCACTGAGGATTACAGCCAACAGAACTTCCAGAAGGTGCTGTATTACAGTGCCAAGAACAAGGACTGGTTTAAACCTCTTCAGCTCATGCAGTTCCTAATACAAGCTCTGGAGGCAGTTATCGCCCTTCATGAACATGGCACAATACACAGAGATTTTACTGCTGCCAGTTTTGCATATAACAAACAGAGCAAATCTGTCAAGCTGTGTCGCTTCATGTTGGCACGAAAATGTGGAAGAGGCGAAACTCTTGTTGGTATGTCCATACATGTTGTACTATTGGTAATGCATTATTAAGTACACTCATCTTTAAGTTCACAACTATGTATTGTATTTGTGCTTGCTATAGCTACGTATAATGACTTATTTTCTTGTTAGACAGAGAATGTTCAACCATTCCCACGAGATGGTCTTCCCCAGAGTCCCTCAAGAAACATCATTTCTCTATGCGGTCTGATTATTGGATGGTTGGGCATCTCATCTATGAAGTCATCACACACGGTTGCCTCCCTTACTCAGATCTCAAAGGACAAAATGAATCCGCCATTGTAAATCTGGTAAATGTTCCTTTACGCTCACGAACATATAACAATAACTGAATTTGTAGATGTGGTTTGACACTATAACCAATATTACCACCCTTTACCAGGACATACGGACATATACACCCATTCAAGTTGGCAACAGTGCCCGTATGATTGGTTTTAGTTGACCTCACATTCAAAAGCTAAAGTTGGTTAAAATAATCTGGGTATCGCTGTGAATCATTCGGTCTTTCCAAACGTCTTAGGTTGTCACATCATTTTGAAATATTGATCAGCGTATATGATAACCCTCACTCACTCTAACACATTCAATTCTCAATTGCAATAAATTCTCAGCATAATGATTGAATAAATTCAAATATTTCATGTTTTGATTATCAAGGTTCTCATGATGATAGCCACATACAAGCCAACAAATGTCTGACTGGATCACAGTCCGTAGAAATTGAAATTACTGGAAAGGCAACATAACGCATCGTGTCGTTTGTATGTATGTGTTGTCCCCTGCTTGTGTAAAGTGTATAGTCACTTTGCTTCTCATGCTCCAGATAAAGGAAGACAGAAAGAAGTTGTGCCAAGAAAGGTGCATCCCTACATCCGTGTTTGACGCCATCCAATGCTGCACTCGCTATGATGATACCCATCGTCTGTCCGTGTGTGAGGCAAAGAGCAGGTTGGAGGAGACCTTCGATCGTTACATCAGCTGCAACGGTAAACCCATATAACATTTCTTCCTACAGCATAACATGCTTTCACTGTTTGACCCAATGTTCATCCTTGTTGGATGACACTGTTGCCAAGGAAGTTAATGTTTTAGATTCCCGATTGGATAACATTTCCTGATTGTCGATTAAATAAAGCATTATGCTGTACAATGTCAGCGGGTTATTTCTCACATAGATTATCTCTATAGTTAGCCAATATATTTCTTATGCTAGTCTGGGATTACATTATCTGTATTGTGTACTGTTACCACTGTTAAGCATTTTGTGGCATGTGGTTGTCTTTGTATTTATACACCTGGAACCCAATTAAGCGCCACCCATATTTATATCAATGAGTCAACCTTGTTGCAACCTACCGAAAAATTCCTTTTACATACGTGTGTCTAGTGTTGTTCACTGCTTAAAAGGGACACTAATCACAGAGAAAACATGAGTTTGAAGCATACTGATGAATTTTATTTTCAAATGGTGACATTTTAGAAAAAATACGTAATTTGCACCAAAAACAAAGTGAAAATTACTTTTGTCACACAGCGGTTACTGAAATTGTTGCATCAAATTTGAATCAGTGCAATCCTGGAACAATGTCTAAAGAAGCCCAAAACACAGTTTATGTCAATATTTGGTGTATCCTCCTTGTGCACGAGTGACGTCAGCCAAACGCTTCCTCATTCCCTGAATCAAACGTTGAACTTGACGTTGAGGTATTCTAGCCCACTCCTCATGCAAAGCAGCATCGAGTTCACGTAAATTTTGGACAGGTGGGTCTCTTTCTCGAACTTGACGGCCTAAAATGTCCCAAAGATGCTCTATGGGATTGAGATCAGGACTTCGTGCTGGCCAAGGAAATGTCTCAATCGCATTCTGACGTAAACATTCGCGGACAGCACGTGATCTGTGAGGTCGGGCGTTGTCATCCATGAATATCGGTCTTGTGGCCAATGTTTGGTTATCAAAATGGGGAATAACTGCCGTCTCCAAGATGTCATGCTGATATCGACGTCCGTTAAGAGTGCCATGTACACTAATCAAGTCCAGTTTACATGAGTAAGATACACAACCCCACACCATTACGGACCCACCATCAAAAGGAATGGTTTCAAGGATGTTGCGTTCGGCCAAGGCTGTATTCGGCTGCCTCCAGACACGTGTACGCCCGTCCACCATGTGCAAAAGGAACCGGCTTTCATCAGAAAAATGAACTCTCCTCGATGATCAAATATTCCAGTTCTGAAGTTGAGTTGACCACGCCAAACGAGCTCGTCTGTGTTCCTGTGTTAACAGTGGACGTTTGATTGGTCTTCTGGCTCTATACCCCGCTGCCTTCAAACGATTTCGGACGGTTCTGGTTGAAATTGCTCGGCCACCTAGCCACTGTGATCTTAAAACTGTAGCGTTGTCAAACGGACGTCGCCTAACAAGCCGTAATAACGCTGCATCTTCCCGCCTGGATGTCTTTCGAGGCTGACCTGGCCGTGGTCTATCCTTAACTTCATTTGTTGCACGGTATTTTTGCACTAATCTTGCAATTACGGAATGGTGACGTCCAAGTTGCCGTCCAATTTCCCAAAAAGACAATCCTGCATTATTCATTACAATAACCTGCCATCTTAATGCTTCTGACAGTCTACGACGTGGCATGGTGGTGTTTTACAACGATCAGACAGTCTTTGTCAAGAAATGTGTATCTTTCAAGGTGTGCAAAGGTAAAAACCCATACTTGATTTCAGAAAATTCAAGGGTATTGTGCTTCACGTGCAGTACATGCAACAGCAATCGCGTTGATCGTGGCATTGTCAGTGTGATGGTGTGGGGAAAGGGCCATATTGTTTAATTAATAATAGTTGTTTGCTTATTTTCTGTATTCATAATTCTGTGTCATATTTAGTTCGGTGGCGCTTAAGTTCCAGGTGTACATACACGTATTTGCATTATTGATGTTCATTTAAGGCATCAGTGTATATGCTCTGGAGGGTAAATCGTTTCGAAGATAGTTCTTGTTAACATTATAGATACCACACAGGGTGGAAACATTTGTACATACAGGTTTGTGGTAAAGATGAAGTTAATTACATTCATATTCGTATACATATTTAAAAATGGAAGACACAACTTCACCTACACAAGTAATATTTCTAAAAATTAATAATAGTGTTTCTCGAAACTAAATTTCAAAGGATAAACTTTAACTAAAAAATTTAAATAAATGGCATCTGAAGTTTACTGAGAAACAATATTGGAAATGCTTGATTTCCTCATTGATAACACATCTATGTGGAATTTGGTGCTCAGATAATTAGGCAAGAAGTAGGTATCAACAAGAGCACTAATCGTACTAATCTTAATGCATATGAATCGGGTTTTCTGCTCGGATTGGAAAAATCAAAACAAGGGTATTTGACCAAGAAATTTAACTTAAGCTTCAGGTATATCGATGATCTGGTATAACGGTCGAATATCGAAGTCCCTTCCATTAGAGTGACAAAGAATGTACAAGACTGTATGACAAGAGCGATGACTTCAACTGTCCAAAAGTCAACTTTACATACATGTCAAACCATATTCAAGCATCTCCAGCCTTGTTGTTCACAGTCACAACATTTGAAGTACAACCGAGCATGATCTTGCTACGGCGTAAACAAAGAGCGTAATACGAAACTTCCTCAAAAGCTGCGAGATTTGTTGCGGCTATGGACAGATTTATTTTCGCTTTTATTCAAAAACATTTGTGGTAGACATCTAGAGGACATTTCCAAATTTGACGCATCAGTGACAAAATTGATGTCTGGTGAAATTCGGTATTTTGATTTGTACCACATTCCACGTTTCCAGGTGGACCACTGACTTGCCTATGCATGTGTTTGTGACGGTTGGTATCGTCACTATATGATAGTGAATCATAAATGCATGCTCACATGGTCGGAATCGTACAATGGACTCTTCTTCAAGCAGAGATTCCAAACGCCTATAGAAATGTTTTTGTCGCTTTTATTTTGTTTACATTTTCATTTGCTCTACCCTTGTGAAAGCAGATGACACTCCACAGTGGTTCCTGGAGAGCGTAAGGTCCGGGGTTTGATCCCCGGCCTCGTCTTACCAAGAGACGTTAAAAGATGGTACTTGTTGTTACCCTGTCTGGCGCTCGGCATTAAGGGGGCTAAAACAAGGACTGGTCGGCTGGGAGTCGGTATGCTGTGTCTGAGTAGGGTATTCATGTTAAACTGCGGGATAGTATCTCAGTGGGCTAGCACTATAAATCGGCATCAGTCCGGACTAGTACAAGCAGCCACACACACACACACACACACAGACACACACGTGCATCTTGGACGCGACGTTAAACCCAATTTCTCCTCACCTGGAAATCGAATTCTAAGATGTGCAGTTAGTTATCTCTAAAATACTTTGAGTTTGACTGCCTTGTTATAATCATACTGAAACGTGTTTATATTATTTCAATATATGCATTTCATTTATTGGAACAATACTTCATTCATGCGATGTGTTATTATAGAGCTACCGCAAAGAAAATCTTCCATAACACCAGACATTTTGTTTCCTGGACTTGACAGAACATCCTATCAAAGTCTCCCTAAAGAAGTAAGTGACCAAGATTTTTTTTCGTTCTCCCATTAATTGTATACTGAATAAGGCATGTCCGTGCACAGTAGAAATAGAATATCCTTGCGGTTGAGAGTTGTCTCCCTTCGGAAGATATTTTATTTGTGAGTGTGTGCCTTGTGAGGCTCTGAACAAACCTAACCTCATACTAGTATCAGTAACACAAGAAATTATCAAAGTCGATCTAAAATGAATCAAGAAACACAAGCAAATTAGGAAATCAAGAAGACAATGTTTTGTTTTTTCAGGGTTCAGAAACGGAATATGGTACGTTGTTACTGACATATCATCACATTTAAGTATACACCTTAGAGTGCGAGGGCACTAATAAAATAAAAGTCAAAGTTTTAAGCTGACATCGTGCATTTACGTCATCAATACACTAGTATATATTCCTTCGTAAAACCCTCATAATTTCATGTTATAAATTGAAATCATGGATACACTATTGTTGGTATCAATATCCAAAATGCATCTCCGTTTGTTTGTTGAATTTTTCAGGAAAATTAAACGGGTATATTTGGTTTAATCCGTATATGCGACTTTTAGTTTGGCCAAACAAGAATTTGATTCATATTCAACAAATTCATATCATACATATCATGTAGATTTTCCTTGAACGTTTTTGCGAACACCTGGTGTCACCGCTATTTGATAGTGATGCTAAAACACAAGGTTATCATCGTACCGTGGACTCAGCTATTAGTACAGATTTATAATAATTTCGGACCCGTGAAGATACGGGTTGGAATAGGTCTTCAGCAACCCATACTTCCCGTAAAAGGCGTCTATGCTTATCGTAAGAGGTGACTAACGGGATTGGGTGGTCAGGCTCGCTGACTGGGTTGATGCATGTCGTCGATCCCAATTGCGTGGATCATTGATATCAATCAGTGGATTGTCTTATTTCGGGTTTTGTCTTATATTTACAAAGATAAGTTTGCTTCAAAACCACATACCTCCTTTACCTTTATGAGCCCTATAAATGGTCAAGTCTTCGGCACACCTGTTCAGTCATTATTAGGAAAAATCATTTACTTTTAATTTATTTTAATATTTTCACTTGACGAACTATATTCATTGTCTGCACATGTTGATTACCTGTCGTGTGTAAGTAACTCGCACATAACATGTCTTTTTAGGCCAGAGGGATTACTTTGAGTATCAAAATCTCTATGAAAGGGAAACTATTTCAACAAATGACGAGCCGTTGTACGAGGAATTCGGAGTATACAAGGGTGTATATTTTCCGGTAAGGTGTATTTTCGCATCGTTTTTTCCCTTCATGTTTAACACGTTGTAATACATGACCATCTGAGCAGAGTCACCTTGTTCCATGTCTTCACACCCAGGATCCTTCATCCATCTCAGGGGCGGTCGGGTAGCCTAGTGGTTAAAGCGTTCGGTCGTCACGCCGAAAACCCGGGTTCGTTTCCCGACATGGGTACAATGTGTGAAGCCCATTTCTGGTGTCCCCCGCCGTGATATTGCTGGAATATTGCTAAGAGCGGCGTTAAACCATACTCACTCATCCATCTCAACACAAGCATAATATGTACATACAAGACTTATATACAGCTTGAGTATATTGAATTACGACGTATTCTGTTCATATTACTATCTTAGCTGTCAACGTGGAAACCAACCCGTGAAGATTCCGGGGTAGAATAGGTTTTTAGAAACCCATACTTGCCGTAAAAGGCGACTATGCTTGTCGTAAAAGACGACGAACGGGATCGGGTGGTCAGGCTCGCTGACTGGGATGATGCAGGTCATCGATCCCAATTGCGTGGATCGATGCTCATGATATTAATCACTGGATTGTCTGGTTCAGAATCGATAATTTACAGACCGCCGTCATATAGCTGGAATATTGCTGAGTGCGGCGTAAAACAACCAACCGAAGGCGAAACGATTAGTCAATGTACGTTAAAATGCGTGTCTTACTTACTTATATTGGAGATTTTACGTGCGCTTTTCGACTGCACGCGTATGTCGCACACGGGCCCGCCAGGCCATTTTATGTGTTTCCGAAAGGGGAAAAGGACGTGGTGGTGCAACCCAGGAGGGGGGTTTAAGGATTGCTTATATAGGATTTTGAGATTTTGAGATTTGGAATGAATGCGAGGAGTGGGTAGGGGCCGAACTTAGGGAGCTGTGTGTGGTGGGTTGTCTGTTAGTTCATGTGATTTTGGTTTTATTAGGTTATGTTTAAATGCGACTAATTAGTCCTGTTTAATTAAGTATAAGGGTTAGGCTAAGGCTTTGAATTTTTCTAATTTATTTTGTGGATTTAGGACTGATTCTAGAGTAAGTGCAGTATTAAGATTTAGGGTGGTTTGTTGTGTTTTACGATGTGTTTGGTAGTGTGTGCAGTGGATGAGTACGTGTTCTAATGCGTGTCAGTTATGTGACCTATATATATACCAGATAGAAACGTTCTGATTCACACGGGCGGTGGGGTAGTCTTTGGTTAAAGCGTTCAATCGTCACGACGAAGACCAGGGTTTGATTCCCCTTATGGATACAATGTGTAAACCCCAGTTCTGGTGTCCCGGGCTGGAATATTGCTCAAACCTCACTCACTCACTCTCTCACTCACTTCCCTAGATCCCTTTCATACATGGGTATCTTCCCTAATACAGAGATCTGAAGATCTCTTATTGTTCCCTAATACGTTTCTTAGCTTTCGTCAGATATTAAGATGGACATACTGTGTCGTCGCCTGACGCAGACAGAAGAATCACAATTGAACACAGAGAGCATCCCAGGAATTCACGGCCATGTGGCTGTTGAGAAAAGGAATGAAACAGAATACCTGGTAAGATTTTCATGTAACAAAGGCTGACATAGTAGCTACAATAAATTGCATTTGTTGGGGGTTAGCCTAGTGCATAAAGCGTTCGCTCCCTCGATTCGGGTTCGATTCCTCACACGATAATGTTTATAGGCCATTTTTGGTGTCGTGATATTGCTAGTATATAACCGAAAGCGGCGTTAGACCCAACTCAATCGCTCACTAATAGGTAAGAGGCGACTAACGGGATCGGGTGGTCAGGCTCACTGACTTGGTTGATGCATGTCGTCGATCCCGATTGCGTGGGTCGATGCTGATGATGTCAATCACTAGATTGTCTGGTCTGGACTCGATTATTTACAGACCGCCGTCATATAGCTGGAATATTGCTGAGTGCGGCGTTTAACAATAAACCAACCAACCAAGCTCACTAATAGCACAATTACACTGTCCAAGTATATACGTTCACAATCGCCCTTATTGATATAGTGACCAGGAATCTGTATTTACTATAGAATTGTTTTTCAGCAACCCATACTTGCCGTGAAAGGCGACTATGTTTGTCGTAAAAGGCGACTGACGGGATCGGGTGGTCAGGTTCGCTGACTTGGTTGATACATGTAATCGATCCCAATTGCGTGGATCGATGCTCATGTCAATCGCTGGATTGTCTGGTCCAGACTCGATTACTTTACAGACCGCCGTCATATAGCTGGAATATTGCTGAGTGCGGCGTTAAACAACAAACAAACCAACAAACAAACAAACAAACAAACAAACAAACAAACAAACCAACCTAGATAAAGCCTGTTTAATATCTTGGCTAAAGCTAAGTGTATATGACACGAGCACAGACTACAATACATACATACCAATATATTATTAGCATTCATTTAAAGCAAAAAAAACACCAACTTGTTGGCAAAGCAATTTAACAACTGTACTTACGTGATTCACAGGATTGTCTGGTGCAGACTCGATTATTTTACAGACCGCCTTCATACAGCTGGAATATGCTGAATGCGGCGTTAAACAACCAACAAACAAACTCTTCCTGAAAATAGATTATTGTTATTATTTTTTAAGAATGTTTCAATTTGTATTTGTTTGTTGCGGTTTTATAATTTTTGCTTGTCTAATAGGGTATTATTTACCATGCCAAAAAAGTGGAAGGAGTGGAAATCACTAAGACATATGTTCTGATCTGTATGGTACTGGAAGATGGAATGGATATGATCATGTCTGCTGGGGAGTAGACGATCGGATCTAATGTGTTCTAATGGTTGGTGTGATGAGATTGAGGCGCACTAGCTCGTTAAAGATGTCGAGTGTCAAATTCGAAACCTGCCTTTTACGGCAAACGTCGCCAAAATCGGGTAAAATCACCTCTGTTGGCTAGACACGCACGAATTCTTTGAGGCATGTTTCTGATGAGGCGATCAAGGTTAGCTTGATTCATATTGTTCGAATTATCAGTAAGAGCAACACCGAGTTCATTTAGAGTGGTGGGTGGATTTTGACCTTGACGTACACGTCTGCCAATGACGTCCCAGATGTGTTCAATGGGTGAAAGGTCATGAGTGCTGGCTATGGCATGACATAGATATTTTGTTGTTGTCATAATCCTTGCACGATGAGCAGGTGCATATTTTAGAGATGAAACATTGCCCAACGTGTTGTGCAAATGGCACCACGAGTTGTGCAATGATGTTGTTCCGACAGTGACTCTGCCATGGACAACGTGGAGCACAGTTCAGCCAGTCATTGCGATACCACCCTATCCAGTATGGACCCAACCCCAAACGATCATGTAACGTAACGTCACGTACATACAACGTTCATTATGACGTCTCAATTCCTTCGGTCGATGAAGTCGAGGGTGACAACGATTCGTCAGCCCAACGTCGATTATCCGTATGCTGACGTTCCCTCCACTGACTCCTCTGATTCCAATGACGTGCAGTAAGTTGTGGGAAAACATGTGAGTAAGTGAGTTTGGTTTAACGCCGCTTTTAACAGTATTACAGTTATATCGCGGCGTGTCAGCTTAATGTGGGAGGAAATCCCGAAGTGATGCAGGTCTAAGACGTTTACCACTTCGTTGAAACCCACGAGCACGGGTATGGTGCTGACAAACCTAGAAATATATATTTTGGGCGAACCGGGATTCGAACCCACAATCCTAGGTTTCTGGCGTGCCTAAGGGACGCAACTTAGCACAGCGAATCGCGGCGCCTTAGACGACTGGGCCACCCGTACCCCCGGAAGACATGTGGACGTCGTGCAGACAAATGCATGGTACATAGCCGTAAACTCTTACAACTGTTGCCTGTTGCTACCGGTCCTTTATCTGAGCGCCAGTTTGCAACCAATTTCTTGATGCCATCGTTCTTACTAATCTGTTCTGGGCTGCAGTTGCTGCCTTTGGGCTTCCAGAGCGGCAACACATTATCTGTTTGTTGGCCCACAATCTGCTGATGACATTAAGAAATATATTTTCGCTACACTATTCTAACATGGCTTTAACATGTCCATGGCACGTAAACCTTAAGCACTTTGCAAACGTTACATGATCAGTGTTATTGATTTCTTAATAATTAAATGTGTTTAATAAAGTGTCTTTGAGCGTTTGGCTTCAAGAAAACAATATTCTATGTGACAATGGCAAATTTGGCATGTGCTGTCCGAGGTCACGTGTTTAATGACTGACACAATGTTGTATTTGGCAGCTTGATGTTTTCGGAAATGTTCTTGCCGCATAAGTCACTTACTTTTATTGCCAAACATTGTGTATTGTCATGTAGGTTTACCTAAAAACAAAATATCCCCTACTTTTTTTTATAGTACATGCGATGCATGTTACTATAATAAAAGGGAAACTTCTTCAGTCTGTGTTCGGCGGTTTTTATTATGTTTCAAACGCTGTGGTATCCAATGGTATGCATGTTAAACGTCTTCTTTAAATTCGCCTCTCCTTTAGGATTTGGGTACTTCTCATAACAATCCCATTTGTAGCCAAGGTGCATATATGTACAGGTGTACAAGTTCCCAACTGGAAACTGTTTCTCCCTGAGGAACGCGCCGGATGCTAGGAGGTGCGACTTATGGTCGTTGGATCACATTTGCTGTTTGAGTGCAGTGGCAAATACGTTGTCTCTTCTACATCAGCAAAACTGGGTCCATGGTTGTCTATGTGCAGATAATATATGGATTGCTGATACTGAAGATAACGGCAATTGCACGGTAAGGTCAGCATATAGACTAAATCTTAATTATGTTTCCTACATATTTTCTCATGTTAAAAAACCCAACTGTTTATCACTAAAAACAATTATGTATTTTGTGATAAAACTACAATGTGCCCCAGTCGTCAAAGTCACCGCAATAAGCTGCACAGTTTTGTCCCATTTGGCGTGCCAGAAACATATGTTCTTGGGTTCGAGGCCCCCTTCTCCCGGCTTATGTTTCCAGGTTTGTCAGCAAATAAGTGGTTGTGCTGGGACTTGCTTCCTCTTGGTCTTTCCTAAAGCTGAAAAGTGATATCAACAAGAGTTTTCCACTAATGTGGCTATATCCCCCACCCCTGTTGCAGAATATATGACATAATTAAATCTAAACAAACCCTAATCTTTTTTTAACCGAGGTGGAACTTGTCGTGGAAATTGTAAAAAAAAAGAAGAGTTTGGAACCTAAATCCATCTTGTTGCCATGGAAACGTAAAATATAAATATTTCTAACATTTCTAAATAGCAAAAGGTACCAGTTCAGCATGTACTTGACAGACCTGCAAAGTTTCATGAAAAAAATATCAGTTCATCTCTCTCTCTCTCTCTCTCTCTCTCTCTCTCTCTCTCTCTCTCTCTCTCTCTCCTATCTGTCACAGGTATACTTCTCAGACCTTGGATATATCCGGAAGTCATGTGACACTGAGGATGGAATGATTGCCGATGACAGTTTTGTTGTGCCACGGGATGAACATGTGTACAGAAGGTAGGTTCTGGAACTTAATTCCCCTGTTCACTTACGCCCCGCGATTTGCCATGCACTTATTCCAGGTTCCTCTGGTGGCGGGTTCGAATACCAAATTCGTACAGAATATGATCCTTGGTTTGTCATCACCATACCCATGCTCATGGGTTTCATCAAAGTGGTAAACGGTTTTTACCTGCACCTTTTTCCGATCACAGGCAGCTTAAAACCTACTCGTGGCTCACTCGCTCACAACAAGACATACTTTGATGCAGCTTCAACCTTATCGTTACATTATATATTATTTTCTGTCAGATCGCCGCCTGAGGTAATACGAGACGGCACCTACTCATGGGCGAGTGACGTCTTCAGTTTTGGCCTGGTATTGTGGAATGCGTTCTCCAACTTGAGCACATACCGCAATCAAAACAAAATGGAGACTATACCAAAGGATCAGGTAACGTCTTTGCCGAGCTGTATAGTTATTTTAAAGTCTTTCGTCGCCACGCCCTAAGTTTCTTGGTTCGAATCCGAGGTTGCTCTGTTAATGATGCTTGGTCGTTCTGTACACTTTTGTCGTCGTGTGTTTCAACAAAGTCGCCAACATTTTGTTTTCCACAAACGTTAAGTTGACAAACATACATACTAGAGTTATCACACGACCTGTATTTAGCCATCCTCCAGATATCTATGGGAGTCTTCCTATTTTGACAGTTATATGAGTACCTGACCACAACATCTGGACATCAGATTCTTCCCAAACCGGAAAAGTGCCCGGATACAATCTATTCTCTCATGCTGCTCTGCTGGAGCCCAGAACGACATGAAAGACCACGGATGACAGTTGTTCAACAGAAACTACTGGAACATACAAGGTAATGTTTCTGATTAACGATGGTGCATCCCACAATCATTAGACTCTTAACATTTGTATTTAGACTACGAAATGTAGTCCAGTAGACAATTAAACCTGCATAATTTCTTTATAAAATACTGTTGTACTATATATTGGCCTCTCTTCACGAAATTCATCAGAGCTCTCGCCTTGATTTTAAACCAGTGATCTATCCATGCCTCTCAAAGGGCTTTGAATGCGCTGTTTGAGAGGCTGAAAATAGTATGATTTTCTTTTGCCCTTTTTACATGTACTATATCTTAAACAAGACATTTAACATTGTGATGCTTCTTTCTTTCAGAGATGAAGTCCATCCCTGCAGAAATCCGGATGAGTATGAAACTGTAGAAGATGACTGTATTGCAGATCCAGCTGGTCCTACAGTCTCCATAGATTCCGGTGACTATGATAGTTGCGCTGAATCTTCCTTACAATGTGATGGACCTCGCTCGTCCTTCACATTATCGTCACTGGTTGACAACGAAATAGGTTTAAGTCAGGCACAATTAAAAGGACAACGAACATTCAAAGTTTCACCGAGTCCCAATAAGCCAAACCTTAAAGCAAAACCTTTGCCAAAGACTAAGAATGAAGGAAAAGGCATGCAATTACAGAAGTTCCTAGCGGAATCTGTGGAAGTAGCATCGTCAAAACAATCATTTGGGATTTCCTTTCAAAGTTCAGGATCAAGCACATTCTCCTCACAGAACAAGCCAGCCCATATGCACTGTGTTCCAAAAGACTTGAATTCCACTGGTAGACTCGATGCCCAGTATGACATGTTTAATGAGTCAGTGAACATTGTTGAAAAGACGAAAAGGAATGAGAAACCATGGATCCGTCCAAAGCCAAAACATCTGTCTCGCCATACACTAGATGCACCCTCAAGTGATTATCAACTATCTGATGATGCATCTTCAAGTGATTATCAACTATGTGATGATGCATCTTCAAGTGATGATCAACTATATGATGACTGTAGGCATCCTGTAGATAAAAGCCTCGAATTATCTCCAAGAAATAGACCCGAATCACAGCAACCGACAAACCAAACTGGGCTGAAGCAAAGCACTGTGCCACAACGGGTCAATGGACCGCCTTTGCTCGACAATCCACCACCTCTACCACAGCGTCCTCCCCCACGACGGAACAACGAAAAGTAACAGATGACACAACAGTTCAGGACGACCCTCTGTCGATGACAATGATTCAAATCTGATTGTTGGTCCATGAACTTCATCCTACTGTAATCTCAGACGCTCTCCAGTGAGATTCCGACTTGTATCTGTTCAAGTATACATGGACCAAACGCAATTCTATTTCCGGTTTGCATTGATGAATGAATGGATGGGTGGGTTGAAGGGTTTGGGTGGGTGGGAGGACGGATGGATGGATTTATGTAGTTAGTTCCTCCAGATAAATACGAAGATTCAAAATCCGATAAATCAAAACATCAAATGTGTGTACTTATCTACAAATAACACAAATCACAAAGGTGGGAACATTGTCCCTCAAACATACAAGCTATAAACTGTGAAAAATACTGGTATTATCATTGCAAAGGTTGTTCAAGATATTCTTTATACTATATAGATACTCAGAGAATTCTATAATAGTAAAATACCACGTTATTTCATCAATATCATTGTTATCAGCACCAAGAATGAATGCTTTTTTCAACATCAAGATTATCAATTACAGTCGAAGAGAATACATCTCTCTCTTAATCGGTTATAACATGGTTACCAATATATGTGGCAACAGGTATCAATCTGTCATAACATGGTTACCCATACATGGGATACAGGTATCAATCTGTCATAACATGGTTACCCATACATGGGTTACAGGTATCAATCTGTCATAACATGGTTACCCATACATGGGGTACAGGTATCAATCTTGCATAACATGGTTACCCATACATGGGTTACAGGTGTCAATCTGTTATAACACGTTACCCATACATTGGGTACAGGTATTAATCTATTATAACATGGTTACCCATACATTGGGTACAGGTATCAATCTGTCATAACATGGTTACCCATACATGGGGTACAGGTGTCAATCTGTTATAACATGGTTACCCATACATTGGATACAGGTATCAATCTATTATATCATGGTTACCCATACATTGGGTACAGGTATCAATCTTGCATAACATGGTTACCCATACATGGGTTACAGGTGTCAATCTGTTATAACATGGTTACCCATACATTAGGTACAGGTATTAATCTGTTATAACATGGTTACCCATACATGGGATACAGGTATCAATCTTGCATAACATGGTTACCCATACATGGGTTACAGGTGTCAATCTGTTATAACACGTTACCCATACATTAGGTACAGGTATTAATCTATTATAACATGGTTACCCATACATGGGGTACAGGTATCAATCTGTCATAACATGGTTACCCATACATGGGGTACAGGTGTCAATCTGTCATAACATGGTTACCCATACATGGGGTACAGGTATCAATCTGTTATAACACGTTACCAATACATTGGGTACAGGTATTAATCTATTATAACATGGTTTCCCATACATGGGGTACAGGTATCAATCTGTCATAACATGGTTACCCATACATGGGTTACAGGTGTCAATCTGTTATAACATGGTTACCCATACATGGGGTACAGGTATCAATCTGTTATATCATGGTTACCTATACATTGGGTACAGGTGTCAATCTGTTATGCATACATTTCATTGCTCACTAAACTTATGCAAAGATCACGTGATGTATTTTTTAAAGGAACAATGCTTTGTATGTATTTTTGTTTTTGTATATTGTGTGTAGAATTATTTCAGCATAAGTTTGAAATTTATATGTATAGTCTTTACAATAGTCATTATATCGTCCATAATTCATATAACATTGACATCCATGTGTCGTCTTTTAAACAACATTTGATTAAATTCAATACATCTTAAATCCTCACAAATACTAATAGATTAGTATACTTTGCCTGGTTGATATATATTGTTTGTTTGTTGTTTAACGCCGCACTCAGCAATATTCCAGCTATATGACGGCGGATAGTAAATAATCGCGTCTGGACCAGACAATCCACTGATTGATATCATGAGAGTCGATCCACGCAATTGATATATAATGACATGGAATGACATCGAACATGTGCTTTAGTAGGTTATGATATATGGCGTTATCGACCGTATATTATTCTTGTCTTTTGTATATGAAGGCCAAAGTTTTCTACGTTGCGTCCCTTTGGCGCGCCAGAAGCTATGAAATATCTCAAAGATTCGCCTGATACTGTTTCTAGATAGTTCAATACTACACCCGTAAAAAAGGTTTATGGTAGTTATTTGCAGAACCCGTGAAGTTCCGGGATAGAATAGGTCTTCAGCAACCCATACTTGCCGTAAAAGGCGACTATGCTTGTCGTAAAAGGCTACTAACGGGATCGGGTGGTCAGGCTCGCTGACTTGGTTGATACATGTGATCGATCCCTATTGCGGGGATCAATGCTCATGATATTAATCCCTGGATTGTCTGGTCGAGACCGCCGGTATTTACAGACCGCCGTCATATAGCTGTAATATTGATGAGTGCGGCATTAAACAACAAACAAACAAACGAAAAAGCCGGCAACTACATTGTATGTCACTGATTAATTACTGTTGTTTATATTTATGAATTAATCGATGTCAGATGACCTTGGCTATATAAGCCTTGGTCCAGAGATGAACATCCGGAGAGATAGGGTCTTAGCCTAGCTAGGGTTAAGCTGGGTGTCCCGGGGCACCACGACAACAACCATTTGCACATGACCTGGCAAATCGTGTTTTCTGTATGAATATGTCTACCTGTATAAAGCAAACTTGTATATAACGCAAGTCACCGATTTCATCTTGTCACTTCCTACCGAGAACTGTACCCTGACCCCTTGCATATAGGAATATGAAAATAATCATCAGCAACTTCACGTGTCCCCAACGTGCGTGCAGCTAGCGCGTTGTTGATATGACCTCACAGTGAAAGGTCATCACTCCGACGTGCAGAACATTTTACAAATATTTCATAGGCAAATTGTGACAAATTTGTCGAATTAAGTAATACATATGTACTTAAAACCACTAAAATAATCAAGTCATGCATAACCTTGCATTATATGTGCAGTATTTGCATAAACTTAAGAATTTAAAAACAGTTCATTTGAGAAACATTACACCTGAGGCCATTTTCTTTCCAAACAATTCTAGTTATTTGTTATTTATTTCCACACACACACACACACACACACACACACACACACACACAATGTATGGTCCATGCATGAGAGCATTCTTTCACGTTGTAGGCGTATATAAGCAACACGTTCACTGATCATGCTGTTTTCTGTCCGTGTTAGTTGAAACCGCTTACGTGGTCCAGTGGTAGAGCGTCCTCCCGGAGAGAGGAAGGTCCACGATTCCCTCCCTGGCCGCGTCCCTACCAAAAAGACGTTAAAAGATGGTACTTGTTGTTACCCTGTCTGGCGCTCGGCATTAAGGGGCTAAAACAAGGACTGGTCGGCTCGGGGTCAGTTTCCTGTGTCTGAGTGGGGTATTCATATTAAACTGCGGCATGGTATCTCAGTGAGCTAGCACTATTAATCGGCATCAGTCCAGGATAGTACAAGCAGCCACACACACATGTGCATGCACGTCGCTATATAAGTGCAATAATCTTGGACGCGACGTTAAACCCAATTTCACCTCACCTCACCGTGTTATTTGACCTCTTCCATTCAAAGCGTACCTGGTTGACACGTACCAGACCCGTGAAATAAGTCATAAGAACGCAACTCTGTGAGAATGTTGAGATCTGATTGGTTCACGTGATGTTAATAAAATAAAACGTATCTCGCCTGTGAGGGAAATACATTTCTTTGCGAAAAAAATAAACCGCTTATACCCCGCCAAGAAGAAAACAATTTGAATGTAGATTTCTGAACGGGACGATAAATCTCGTGCACCCCGCAACGAAGCAAAAAGCTCAGCTCAATCGAACAGGTGTTTTCTATCTGTTTTCAATTTGTTTTAATTCATTTACAGTGGCAGATAGAAAGTTGTCGGCAAGATACATTCGTTGTAGCCTTATCACTCGGAGTCTATGGCTTTATGCGTCCCTCGGTAGGCTTTATACCACTCGCCTAAATCACATATACCCCATGTGATAATGCTGCAACTTATAACATACAATTGCGACAGGAATTAGTGTTATCTGTGTACTCGAGGACATAAATGTCGTTTTGCAAGCGGAATATCGTAGCTAACGTTATCGAAGATGGCGAATGACTTGTCCTGCCTATCAAGGCATGACTATTCTGTTCTTAACAAATTCAAATGTATTTGTAGTGAGTGCGTGAGTTAAATTGAGTTAAAATGCAACGTCGCATTTCGGGAATATAGGGTGTTATTATTTTTATAGACTAACATTTAGTCTCTGAAATCTTATGTTACACAATATCCTGACTATCATGACTCTAAAAAAAACATTACCTATGCTGATTAGCTTGAGCTGGCTTGACCTGCTTTTGTATGCATTTCTAGATTATGTTTTTTTCATAAAATAAATATATTCCACGGTCATGGTGCAGGACTATTATTTGTAGAACTGTCCTTGATAAATATCCGGTCATAAAATGGCAAAGTTGCTGTTTCAAGTTTCAGCAAGGTTAAGCTCCTTCGCAGTTCTATGCTGCATTGTGTTCTAACGTTGATCGCGGCGCATTGTGTTCTCAGCATCGCACCATATACAAAGGACACCCTCCTACACTGTGTTAACCAGTTTATGTGTGAAGACCCAAGTTTCGGTTTGTTTGTTTTTTTGTCTCTCCTTTCATTGCCTCAATTTGTTATTGTTATTCTCTAACAAGTGCAATCAACAGACAATATACTGTTAAGAACACTCAACATCACTATGTACAACAATGTTCAAAGACAATCAGTATTCATTCTCGTTGTTTATAATGACTTAAGTCAAGGTCTGTTAGATGTTGAATGTTCATGGATCCCTGATCAAGTTGGATTACTTGGAAATGAGAAAGCTGATAAATTGGCAAAAGCTGCATTTGAATTTGATGAATCAGAACAAGATGAAACAATTTTACCTTCTCCTGCACCGTCAGTATGACCCATGCTAACACAAAATGGCAGCAGAAATGGGCATCATCCTTAAAAGGACGTCATCTCTATGGCATCGATCCTTTTATCACTAAATTACACACATCTAGAAATAATCGGAGAGAGGAGGTTCTCTTAACCAGACTTCGTCTTGGGCATTGTGGCCTTGGTGCTTATGTAAATGTAATTAATAA